ACAAATTTAAGCAAAAAACTATCGAGAGTTTCATGTCTATTCTGGAAACTCAAGTCTTTTGTTGACATTGAATATCTCAAACTAGCCTACTTTGGACTGTTTCAATCCCACATTCAATATGGAATCCAACTTTGGGGCCATTCCCCCCATGTTCATGAGCTTCTACTAATACAAAAAGAAGTCATCCGCACTATGTCGGGGGCTGGCCCTGCGGAGCACTGCAAGCCACTTTTTGTCAGACTAAACATTTGCACAATCGAGTGAGGTGAATAAAAACAAGTGACAACTTGAGAGTGTTCACTAAGCAAGTCTAGTCTACTCTTAAATAACATGTGAATAAACACAAGAGTTCACTCGCGAGAGTTGTCTTGTGGTACGGAGGGTTCCCTCTTGCGCCGGCAAGTGATCACTTGTAGAGAACACTTGTTTTTTTGTTTTTTTTTTTTAAAGAGAACACTCGTTTTTCATAATAAAAACAAACAATTTAACTTGGGCAATTTAAATGTTTGCAACAGCTTAATTCTGCGGCCAAAGTAATCAGATTTAGGATATTCATGAACAATTACACAGGCCTACCAAGTTATAAGTTTACTGTATTTATTGCTCTGTGTATTTAACAATAGTTGTTAAAAAGTATATGTTTGTTTATAGTTTGTTTTTTATTTGTTTAATTTAACATAACCGTCATGGAAGTAACACACGAAGAAGTTTGTGAAAACACCAGGTCAGTGTTAGTGACACTTTTAAAAGGGTGCAGTGTTGTTCTAAATAAGTCAATGTTACCTAAATGTGTACACGACAAGGAATTGGCATGGGAACAGATCAAAACTGACTACATGAAAACCACGGGGAAATTGGTAACTGTTGACAAGTTATAGAAACTCCTCCAAAACATGAGAACTGCTGTAAAAAAGAAAACAGATACAACAGCAACGGGAAATAGAGACCAGTAAAATTACTAAGTTGGGAAAGAGAGTTTTTAGATTTATTGAATAGTAATGAAAATCCCGTATTCCGAAAAGTGCCTGGAGCTGTTGCAGTTGGTGTAGATAAAAGAATAACGCCTAGTATTGTGGACAGTAGTTTCGTTGAAGACCCTGACAACCCAGAAGAACCCACAGTACATCGTATGAAACGTGGTGTTTCCGAAACTTCTAAAGAAAAGGTAAAAAGGTTTAAAATACCATGTGAAACGCAGGATACTGCAAAATATACCACTACAGAACTCCAGAGATTGTTATTGGAGCAAATTAAACTGACCCAGCTACAAGTGAAACGTGAAGAACTGCTGTTGAGTAATGAACAGAATAATCAACAAATATTTGCAATTGAAGGTGGTGGAAATGGCTTAGCAGAATTTGTAGTACTTGGAAATAATGAACCATAAGGAAATTAGCTTGAAGAGAATATAGCCTAACTATGTAAAATATGTTTTTTCTTAGGCCTACTTAAGAGGAGAAAGGACGTTCTTATAATTTATTATCAAAAGAACATACGTTGTTAAGTTTGGTGCAACAAAATAGATACATAATATTCATTTTAATATTTACTTATCTAAAACTAATGGTTTGTTATCGTTAAAGAGAAAATTTTTTTTTTTAGTTGTAGTAAGTCATTAAAATAAATTATTTAGTTTCAGTTTTGTATAACATTTAAATAAATTCATTATTAATAAACAGAGATATTTATTTACACAAACCTATTTACATTTACTGATATAACAATTGAGTTATGTTATCACGTTTTTCTTGGCCTCGCAGACGAACTCTACGTTCATTATCCATGTATTCGTTGCGATTTACTTCATGAAAGATTTCATCATTTCCATCATAGTTGAAATCCCAACCATCATTGAGGTGCTTCGATATATTGTGTAACACTGCACAGCAAACAATAATTTTTGGCACTTTATCCAGAGAAACTCTAATTTTGCTTTGCAAAATAGGGAACCTTTGTTTTAGTTGGCCAAAAACTCGCTCAATTATAACACGGTCCTGAGCATGGGTAAAGTTATAATTTCTTTCTGCGGGATTTTGTGGGGGTTTGAATGGTGTCATTAGCCATGGGGAAATACCATTTAACCACTGTCACCAATGAGGCAGTAGGCGCCATCATATTGCCGTAATGTTTCCTGAATCATACTTTGACACCAAATTCTTGCGTCTTGTACACTGCCTGGCCATTGTGCATCAACAGATGTGAATTTTTCATTTGCGTCGCAAGTGGCTTGTACATTTATGGTTGTCCTGCCTTTTCTATTGACGTATTCGTCTCTGAAATGAACTGGCTTCTTGATTTCTATGTGTGTGCAATCTAGAGCACCAATAGCAGTCGGAATCCTGAATCTAGCACCCCACTCATTCCTAGCATTATTCAATTCCTCTACAGTTCTTGGAAATGTTATCCAATGGTGTGATTTTTCTAAAATCTTATCCAGTACCTCTGAAAATGTCTTACACACAGTAGTTCGGTGAACTCCAATATCGACAGCTACCCCACTTTGAAACCCAGGGTCACTCAAGTATCTTAAGAAAATTTCTATTTTTTCCCTTTTCGACAGAGCTCCACCTCGATTCTCAACAACATCATTCAAAAAATAATCTGAAATGTAATTTACACTTGCATCTTCAAATCTGAGTAATTGTTTGCACTTGTTAGGGCTTATACTTCTTCTAATCCCATATTGTTTTTGTTCACGAATATGCATGAAAGCAGCCATTTTAGGCAAGTGAACAGTTACAAGTGTGGGTTGACCCTGACTTGTAAATCTAAGAGTGTTCTCTTTCTAGACAAGTGTTTGCTTTTTCTTTATTCACATGTTTTTAAGAGTTGTCTTGTGTCAGAAAAGGGTTCCCTTGTAACGGAAGTGAACTCTTCCTTTATTCACTTGCTGACAAGTGTTCACTCAAAATAATACAAGTGGGAGAGTTCTCTAGTTTTTATTCACCTCGCTCAATTAACTTATACATCTACAATGTACTTATATACACTAAAGCTAATCTCAATGAGTTTTCCACCAGGCAGAGTTACCATTTCCACCATACACGAAACAAGGAACAACTGGATATACCACAACACAGGCTGGCCATCACAGGTAATTCTTTTAAACTTAATTGTGTGAAATTTTATAATAAGCTGCCTGAGCCTCTTCAGGCAGACAGCCTTTCTCTTCCTCTTTTTAAGTCAAAAATTCATAACTGGCTCATAGCTAACCCTTTTTACTCAGTTAAGGACTTTATGAATTATAAAATTAAAGCCGAATCTTTCATACTGTAAATCAAAACTCTCAATCGTTATTCTTAATCTTTGTTACCATAGATATGAACATGTTTAGTGATATTTTATTTTATTTAATGTAATTTGACAATGCCTATTCCTATGTACAACTTGGTCAATGGCAATAAACTTTCTTATTCTTATTCTTATTCTTATTCTTATTCTTATTCTTATTCTTATTCTTATTCTATTCTTATTCTTATTCTTATTTGATTTTTCATTGTTAGCAAGTCTGGTTAGTTTGGTTAGGTTATGATAGTTTAATTTTATAATAAAAAAATTATAAAATAGGATTTGAGGCATTTATAATTTTATTTTATGAACATAACTATTTTTGTGATTAATAAACCTTCATTAGATTTTATCATTGTCAGCACGTTTGGTTGGTTTGGTTAGGTTATGACGGTTTAATTTCATAATAAAAAAATATAAAATTGAATTTGAGGCATTTATAATTTTATTCTATGAACAAAAATAATTTTTCAATTACTAAACCTTCTTTATAGTCACACGGCCAGCACAATTTGTTTTTCAGGATTAATTTTGCCAACAGTGTCATTTAGAGGCTTCTGATAGACTATAATGAAGGTTTACTAATTGAAAAATTAGTTTTGTTCATAGAATAAAATTATAAATGCCTCAAATTCAATTTTATATTTTTTTATTATGAAATTAAACCGTCATAACCTAACCAAACCAACCAAACGTGCTGACAATGAAAAAATCTAATGAAGGTTTATTAATAGAAAAAATAGTTGTGTTGATAAAATAAAATTATAAATGCCTCAAATCCTATTTTATAATTTTTTAATTATAAAATTAAACTATCATAACCTAGCCAAACTAACCAGACTTGCTGATAATGAAAAATCGAATGAAGGTTTAATCGAAAAAAAACATTTCTGTTTATAAAATAAAATTATAAATGGGTTAAATTCAATTTTATTATGTTTTAATTATAAAATTAAACCGTCATAACCTAACCAAACCAACCAAACTTGTTTATAATGAAAAAATCCAATACAAAAAAATAGTGCTACGGGTGGGATTCGAACCCGGGTCCTTCGGATTATCTACTCAGCATTCTATCCACTTCACCACCGAGGCCGTTGGCATCAAATCGTATCGTTGCGGTAATGATGTTCCCTTAGCCAATCAGAAGCCTCAAAATAATACTGTAGGCAACACTAATCCTGAAATAAAAATTCAGCACACGGCCAACCCACTGAGCTATAATTCTAACTGGAGGTAGCACTGAATGTCAAAGATGCGTGTCGCCAGCCGCCATGTTTGCGTGAGGTGTGAGTTATAAGAAGCCATATTATTGCTATGGCTATTATTATACTTGGCTTAAAATACCTACTTTGTATGGTCGCCATTTCAAAGAAAATTATTAAAGTATTAAAAGTATTCAAGTATGACAAAAATACTCACTGCTATACCAACCTAGTTATAAGAAGCCATGTTATTGCTATGGTAAGAAAACTTACTGCTATACCAACCTAACAAAATCAGCGACTCGCTTTTGACAGACTTCTGCCATGGCAGTGCTACCTCCAGTTATAATTTTAGCTCAGTGGGCCAACCTAACAACACGAAACACCGAAAACGAAAACAAACCAGCAAAAACAGTGGCACGTTTTTCTCTAATGTTTAACCAGAGAGTAGTGACTCCAGTTATAATCTATATCTCAATGGTTACAACAACAACAACATTCAAGCCAAGGCCCAAGGGCATGTTTATTGTTTTGTTGACGTTTTGGTTTTGATGTCTTGCTCTTGCTTTGCTTGATAGACATTATTGCATTGTATTGTTTTGTTTTTGTTTTTACCCAATTCCGTTTCCATTTCTTTCCATCTTATTTGGAGGTTGTTGTTGATTATTTTCATACTGAGTCATGGTTCTCTGTGGTCAGCGTTCTTTAATTTCTAAGCAAAGTAAAGTGAAGGAAACAGGAAACTGAAAGTAAAGAATGAAGTGTTATCATTGTGGATGTTTGAATGTTAAATATTGTCACTCTGTCTGTTGGCCTATCTAATCATTGTCATACTCAGGGAAGTCCTCATGAATCAGTTCAATGACGAATAATTGGGTAGACAACCAACCATAGACAGAAATATAGATTTTTGTCTGTCCAGTGTTTTTACAAGAGCACTTAGCCCATCTGGGTTGCCCACCTAAAAAGGTAAGCCCGAAAAGAAGCCAAATTATTTAAATTTCAATTAACTTAGGCCTAAGTTATTTACTTAGTTTGGGCTAATCAGGCTACATAATTGCAAAAATTATGGATATTATCTCTTATCTATTTTAATGTAGAACATAAAATCTAGAAAGATCTAATTAAAATAGTACACAACTTTAAAGATTCTTTTAGTCAGGATATAAATGGAGTTTCTAGTCATATTCTTAAATCCGTTTTCAAATCGATTGCTGCCCCTCTTGCTTATTTAGTCAACAGCTGTTTGGCTAAAGGTGTTTTTCCCGAAAACCTGAAGTTAGCTAAAACCATTCCGATTTACAAGAAGGGTGACCCGGCACAGCCCGCAAACTTTCGGCCGATATCAATTCTTCCTGTTTTCTCTAAGGTTCTGGAGTCAGTAATGAAACAACAACTGGTGGCCTATTTTGAGAACAACAACCTGTTTAACGATTCTCAACATGGGTTTAGGGCCGGAAGATCCACAACCTCTGCACTCCTTAGCCTAGTTAAGAACATCTCTGATGCCTTTGAATCTAATGACTCCGTCCATCTCAGTCTTTGTGATCTTAGCAAGGCATTCGACGTGGTCTCTCATGACATCCTTCTTGCCAAGCTTGGCAGATATGGCGTCACTGGAGTAGTCCACAAATCAATAGTCTTAGAAAACAGGAAACAAATTGTTTCGTTGCAGGGAGCCTCCTCCAGTATCAGGCAAATGCACCAGGGCGTGCCCCAAGGATCGATTCTGGGCCCTGTCTTGTTCGTCATAATGATTAATGATCTGTCCCTAAACAGACGAACGCTGCTCTTTGCAGACGACACAACACTACTGACCAGGCACGGCAACCTGAACGACCTGAGAACCGAGGCAGCATTTCTGCTGGATGAGGCCAAAGAATGGTTCGTTTTGAATCGCCTTAAAATCAATGACGATAAAACACAATCCATCACGTGTACCCTCAAACAGGGCATCGAAGATGAGGCGGTCAAACTGCTAGGATTCTGGATCGATTCCAAACTCAACTGGAACCTCCATGTGGAGAAAGTGTGCTTCAGGCTAAGCAGAATATTATATCTGATCAGGAAACTTAAGCATGAGATTACACGTCCCTACCTAGTCATAATGTACCATGCATTATTCCATAGCCACATAAATTATGGACTGGTGGTATGGGGCCATTGCTACGCGACCCAGAGTGTGCTGTTGCTGCAGAAGAAGGCGCTAAGACTAATAACATCCTCTGGCCCTACCGATCACTGTATACCTCTTTTTAAAGAACTTGGCATACTATCAGTTTTCAGCCAGTATGCGCTAAACACCCTAGTTCTTCTGAGAGAAAATATAAACAACTTCTCAACCAGAAACATGCAGCACAACTATGGGACCCGCAGAGCCTATGACCTGGATGCACCCCGTTGTCGACTTAGCCACACGCTGAATTCATATCCATCTCTAGCGATAAAATTATTCAATACGCTACCGACAACCATCCGGACCCTAGAACCAAAGCAGTTTAAGTCTGCACTTCGCCAGAGCCTAGTCAGTAGGCCTCTGTACTCCATCAAGGAACTGATTGACAATCCACTCGACTTTCCAAAAATCCGAGTCACATCCGTCAGTACAGTTTAAATTGTATATATATATATATATATGTTTATAATAGTGTTTTATAAGTTACTTTTTTTTTTGACGCAATCTATCCAACGTTTGTTGGTCAAGGATGAAGGAATCAAGTATTCAAGTACATCCTCTTTAATAAATTAGATCTAGACTAGGCTAATTCCTACAACAAGGCTATTCCTTAACCCAATGATCAAACCAAACCTTAACATAGACATAACGGGTACAGTTTCTTAACTGGGCTATGCTAATATTGATTGAAACTATCGATTTGATTGCGATTTTTTCACCATCAGTCAGTTTGGTTGGTTTGGTCTTAGGTTATGATAGTTTAATTTTATAGGCCTAATAGAAATATTTAAAAATATCAGTTAGCCTATTAATCAATATTTTCAATTCGATAGTTTTAATCGATATTAGCATAGCCCAGTTAAGAAACTGTAGGCCTGCCCGACATAACTTAAGTTAGTCAGACTCACCAAACCTAAATTTAGACATAACTTAACCCTCCGAGTGTCCATAGTTTAGGCCTTAATGTCCGCCTATTTTTGGCGCATTTGCAAGGTTTTATTAAAACGGATCTGAGAAGCTTAAAACAATGTTAATTCTACTGTTCTATATACCATTTTGTTTGGAAAATCATGGGCTTCAATATTATATATAAAACATAAGGAACATTTGTTAAAAAAAAAGTTTTTAGGTAGGGCCTAAGTAAAAAAAAATATTTTGGAAAATTTTCAAAAAAAAAAATAAGTTTGCGCTCAATGAAATTGTATAAATTATAGGCCTATAAATATTTGAAAATAGCCACTTTGTTCTAAATTTTATGAGGATTACAAATATATAATCATATTAAGTGAGGTAAGTTATCAAATAAATAAGTTATGAGTGAAAAACAGATTCCAGTACATAGCGTTTAGCTAAGAATGCATAGCCTAACCATAGCTAGGAATCTGGCTGATAATTTACATCAATATCACTACCTACTTCTTCAGGATCATCAACCAGCCCTTCAAAATCACTTAAATCTTCTTATAATGCACCACGTATAACTTATCACTACTTTTGATTTTTAACACTAAAACAATGATAAACGTAATAAAACACATCAGTCATCGGTCCGAGGTTAACCAAGCTGTTTACAAATACGCTCGTCAGCTGTCTGCTACAATATTTTCGGAACTAAAATGAAAAGCGCTTAGAGACAGACCTCCGGAGAAAGCTTAGAATCTAACAAAAAGAACGATACCTAACTCGATCCAGTTCAATCCGATTCAGTCAGTCATAGAGCCTTCGCCGTAAACGATGTTCGTGTGTCAAAAAATCGACAAGTGACACTACACAAAGTGTGTCGTGAGTCGATTTTTCGACAAGTGACGCTCGGAGGGTTAAGTTAGTCAGACTCAGTTTTCTACTCAAGAGCCTGTAACTTAAATAGGCCTACAGTAAGTTTATGCTAAGCAGCAATATGAACAGTTTGACCGTTTACTTGTGAATACTGGTAACTTACTAGACATTCCGTAAGGACCAGCTGTCACCAATTATTTAGGCTAGGTACCAAGTTATAGAGTCTTCATCATCCCTATAAAACATGGTCAGAACATGTTCTTTAGCTGCTCCCAATACTTTGTCACATAGGCCTAAATAAGTTATGCCTAAAATATATAGGCTACAGGCATATAAGCATATACCATGCACATTTTAACTCATGTTTAGGAAATGTTTTTCTCTAAGTTACCTAAGTGGTTTAAGTGTTAATACTTCTTTTTCTTGATGTCCGAATGTGTGTAACTTATCTCAACATACCAAAATGTTGGATAGTAGGCCTACCCGTAGTAAAAATTTCAACCGGTGAAGTATCGTAGGTCTCTAGACAACTTTCCAATAAGCTGCATGGTGTCAGTGGAAACATAAATCGATTCATACCATACCATAATCATCACAGAAGTAGGCTACACTGTATGATTCAGAAACTTGGACGTTGACCAAAAAGCCGAAAACCTTATTGCTGGGTTTGATCCCCAATATCTAGGCTATCCCTAATAACTTAGAGTGCAGAGAAAATATACGGACCAGTTCAAGGTAACAAAAGTTGTGATACCAAAGAACAGAGAGCTGAGAAATGAATTTAAACACCCAGATTAATAGGCGTGCTTTCCGATGGGGTGGGCAGACTCTGGTGAAGAAATATGCATTAACTTTTAAAGTTAGGCCCATCAGATTTAAAATGCATATCATATAGAAATTTAATCGGATGAAAGAAATATGTAGGTAGTCACATGACATTTTTTTTTAATTACAAGATGATTTTTTCCAATTAAACTGCCAGAATTTGCCTTTATTGGTGTTAAGATATTGGTTCTTATTATTGTAATTCTTATGTTACAGGAAACCTTTACAATCGTACCGGTAACGCTAGAACTTGCTGTTTGTGTCTCTCAGGGACAATGCTTGTTTTTTTAAATACTTTGATACCGCCAGGATTTTTATAAAATATAATGACAGACAGTGTCGTAGATGTAATTATTACTGGTAGTTTAGTTTTTAAAGATAATTTGTAAGTAGAGCTTAGTGTAAATGGCTACCGTATAAATTTACCTTGCAATAATTATTTTTGTGTGAAATTGCACTGGCCTCCTAGTATTAATTATATTTGTTGTTTGCAGAAAAATTGTCAACACTTACAACTTGAGAAACCTCAAGAAAAAGACTACAGAAATGACTGACATGAATAGCTCATCTCCTTCTCTCCTAACATTTGAGGTGATTTCTACACGAACAATAAATGACCCAACAAAATATGTGGTAAGTTGAATTAAATAAGGACTGATTCAGTTAGAGGTAACTATTTAAAACTAAGTAGGCCTACCTACATTGTAGTTTGCTTATATTTTGGTATATTTTTGTTTTAGATTGTTTGTAATAGTAGGCCTACCTATATGATATAAAATATGAAAAATTATATCTTTCATATGACCACCATATGCAGCCTTTAGGGCCAAATTTCCGAATTGGCGGACAGGGCGTGCGCCCAGGTCGGCAAATTTTAGGGGGCGGCAAAATTTTAGGCCTAAGTTATTTACTTAGTTTGGGCTAATCAGGCTACATAATTGCAAAAATTATGGATATTATCTCTTATCTATTTTAATGTAGAACATAAAATCTAGAAAGATCTAATTAAAATAGTACACAACTTTAAAGATTCTTTTAGTCAGGATATAAATGGAGTTTCTAGTCATATTCTTAAATCCGTTTTCAAATCGATTGCTGCCCCTCTTGCTTATTTAGTCAACAGCTGTTTGGCTAAAGGTGTTTTTCCCGAAAACCTGAAGTTAGCTAAAACCATTCCGATTTACAAGAAGGGTGACCCGGCACAGCCCGCAAACTTTCGGCCGATATCAATTCTTCCTGTTTTCTCTAAGGTTCTGGAGTCAGTAATGAAACAACAACTGGTGGCCTATTTTGAGAACAACAACCTGTTTAACGATTCTCAACATGGGTTTAGGGCCGGAAGATCCACAACCTCTGCACTCCTTAGCCTAGTTAAGAACATCTCTGATGCCTTTGAATCTAATGACTCCGTCCATCTCAGTCTTTGTGATCTTAGCAAGGCATTCGACGTGGTCTCTCATGACATCCTTCTTGCCAAGCTTGGCAGATATGGCGTCACTGGAGTAGTCCACAAATCAATAGTCTTAGAAAACAGGAAACAAATTGTTTCGTTGCAGGGAGCCTCCTCCAGTATCAGGCAAATGCACCAGGGCGTGCCCCAAGGATCGATTCTGGGCCCTGTCTTGTTCGTCATAATGATTAATGATCTGTCCCTAAACAGACGAACGCTGCTCTTTGCAGACGACACAACACTACTGACCAGGCACGGCAACCTGAACGACCTGAGAACCGAGGCAGCATTTCTGCTGGATGAGGCCAAAGAATGGTTCGTTTTGAATCGCCTTAAAATCAATGACGATAAAACACAATCCATCACGTGTACCCTCAAACAGGGCATCGAAGATGAGGCGGTCAAACTGCTAGGATTCTGGATCGATTCCAAACTCAACTGGAACCTCCATGTGGAGAAAGTGTGCTTCAGGCTAAGCAGAATATTATATCTGATCAGGAAACTTAAGCATGAGATTACACGTCCCTACCTAGTCATAATGTACCATGCATTATTCCATAGCCACATAAATTATGGACTGGTGGTATGGGGCCATTGCTACGCGACCCAGAGTGTGCTGTTGCTGCAGAAGAAGGCGCTAAGACTAATAACATCCTCTGGCCCTACCGATCACTGTATACCTCTTTTTAAAGAACTTGGCATACTATCAGTTTTCAGCCAGTATGCGCTAAACACCCTAGTTCTTCTGAGAGAAAATATAAACAACTTCTCAACCAGAAACATGCAGCACAACTATGGGACCCGCAGAGCCTATGACCTGGATGCACCCCGTTGTCGACTTAGCCACACGCTGAATTCATATCCATCTCTAGCGATAAAATTATTCAATACGCTACCGACAACCATCCGGACCCTAGAACCAAAGCAGTTTAAGTCTGCACTTCGCCAGAGCCTAGTCAGTAGGCCTCTGTACTCCATCAAGGAACTGATTGACAATCCACTCGACTTTCCAAAAATCCGAGTCACATCCGTCAGTACAGTTTAAATTGTATATATATATATATATATGTTTATAATAGTGTTTTATAAGTTACTTTTTTTTTTGACGCAATCTATCCAACGTTTGTTGGTCAAGGATGAAGGAATCAAGTATTCAAGTACATCCTCTTTAATAAATTAGATCTAGACTAGGCTAATTCCTACAACAAGGCTATTCCTTAACCCAATGATCAAACCAAACCTTAACATAGACATAACGGGTACAGTTTCTTAACTGGGCTATGCTAATATTGATTGAAACTATCGATTTGATTGCGATTTTTTCACCATCAGTCAGTTTGGTTGGTTTGGTCTTAGGTTATGATAGTTTAATTTTATAGGCCTAATAGAAATATTTAAAAATATCAGTTAGCCTATTAATCAATATTTTCAATTCGATAGTTTTAATCGATATTAGCATAGCCCAGTTAAGAAACTGTAGGCCTGCCCGACATAACTTAAGTTAGTCAGACTCACCAAACCTAAATTTAGACATAACTTAACCCTCCGAGTGTCCATAGTTTAGGCCTTAATGTCCGCCTATTTTTGGCGCATTTGCAAGGTTTTATTAAAACGGATCTGAGAAGCTTAAAACAATGTTAATTCTACTGTTCTATATACCATTTTGTTTGGAAAATCATGGGCTTCAATATTATATATAAAACATAAGGAACATTTGTTAAAAAAAAAGTTTTTAGGTAGGGCCTAAGTAAAAAAAAATATTTTGGAAAATTTTCAAAAAAAAAAATAAGTTTGCGCTCAATGAAATTGTATAAATTATAGGCCTATAAATATTTGAAAATAGCCACTTTGTTCTAAATTTTATGAGGATTACAAATATATAATCATATTAAGTGAGGTAAGTTATCAAATAAATAAGTTATGAGTGAAAAACAGATTCCAGTACATAGCGTTTAGCTAAGAATGCATAGCCTAACCATAGCTAGGAATCTGGCTGATAATTTACATCAATATCACTACCTACTTCTTCAGGATCATCAACCAGCCCTTCAAAATCACTTAAATCTTCTTATAATGCACCACGTATAACTTATCACTACTTTTGATTTTTAACACTAAAACAATGATAAACGTAATAAAACACATCAGTCATCGGTCCGAGGTTAACCAAGCTGTTTACAAATACGCTCGTCAGCTGTCTGCTACAATATTTTCGGAACTAAAATGAAAAGCGCTTAGAGACAGACCTCCGGAGAAAGCTTAGAATCTAACAAAAAGAACGATACCTAACTCGATCCAGTTCAATCCGATTCAGTCAGTCATAGAGCCTTCGCCGTAAACGATGTTCGTGTGTCAAAAAATCGACAAGTGACACTACACAAAGTGTGTCGTGAGTCGATTTTTCGACAAGTGACGCTCGGAGGGTTAAGTTAGTCAGACTCAGTTTTCTACTCAAGAGCCTGTAACTTAAATAGGCCTACAGTAAGTTTATGCTAAGCAGCAATATGAACAGTTTGACCGTTTACTTGTGAATACTGGTAACTTACTAGACATTCCGTAAGGACCAGCTGTCACCAATTATTTAGGCTAGGTACCAAGTTATAGAGTCTTCATCATCCCTATAAAACATGGTCAGAACATGTTCTTTAGCTGCTCCCAATACTTTGTCACATAGGCCTAAATAAGTTATGCCTAAAATATATAGGCTACAGGCATATAAGCATATACCATGCACATTTTAACTCATGTTTAGGAAATGTTTTTCTCTAAGTTACCTAAGTGGTTTAAGTGTTAATACTTCTTTTTCTTGATGTCCGAATGTGTGTAACTTATCTCAACATACCAAAATGTTGGATAGTAGGCCTACCCGTAGTAAAAATTTCAACCGGTGAAGTATCGTAGGTCTCTAGACAACTTTCCAATAAGCTGCATGGTGTCAGTGGAAACATAAATCGATTCATACCATACCATAATCATCACAGAAGTAGGCTACACTGTATGATTCAGAAACTTGGACGTTGACCAAAAAGCCGAAAACCTTATTGCTGGGTTTGATCCCCAATATCTAGGCTATCCCTAATAACTTAGAGTGCAGAGAAAATATACGGACCAGTTCAAGGTAACAAAAGTTGTGATACCAAAGAACAGAGAGCTGAGAAATGAATTTAAACACCCAGATTAATAGGCGTGCTTTCCGATGGGGTGGGCAGACTCTGGTGAAGAAATATGCATTAACTTTTAAAGTTAGGCCCATCAGATTTAAAATGCATATCATATAGAAATTTAATCGGATGAAAGAAATATGTAGGTAGTCACATGACATTTTTTTTTAATTACAAGATGATTTTTTCCAATTAAACTGCCAGAATTTGCCTTTATTGGTGTTAAGATATTGGTTCTTATTATTGTAATTCTTATGTTACAGGAAACCTTTACAATCGTACCGGTAACGCTAGAACTTGCTGTTTGTGTCTCTCAGGGACAATGCTTGTTTTTTTAAATACTTTGATACCGCCAGGATTTTTATAAAATATAATGACAGACAGTGTCGTAGATGTAATTATTACTGGTAGTTTAGTTTTTAAAGATAATTTGTAAGTAGAGCTTAGTGTAAATGGCTACCGTATAAATTTACCTTGCAATAATTATTTTTGTGTGAAATTGCACTGGCCTCCTAGTATTAATTATATTTGTTGTTTGCAGAAAAATTGTCAACACTTACAACTTGAGAAACCTCAAGAAAAAGACTACAGAAATGACTGACATGAATAGCTCATCTCCTTCTCTCCTAACATTTGAGGTGATTTCTACACGAACAATAAATGACCCAACAAAATATGTGGTAAGTTGAATTAAATAAGGACTGATTCAGTTAGAGGTAACTATTTAAAACTAAGTAGGCCTACCTACATTGTAGTTTGCTTATATTTTGGTATATTTTTGTTTTAGATTGTTTGTAATAGTAGGCCTACCTATATGATATAAAATATGAAAAATTATATCTTTCATATGACCACCATATGCAGCCTTTAGGGCCAAATTTCCGAATTGGCGGACAGGGCGTGCGCCCAGGTCGGCAAATTTTAGGGGGCGGCAAAATTTTGGAAGATAAGTAATCAAAAATGTCGTGTTTCTCTTCTGAAACAGCACTGACGGATGTGTAGTACTAAAGGTCATTGGTCAATGACCTAAAATATCACGATTGTAATGATTGCTAATTTTAAATTTTATATTACAATATGTTTAGAGTATAAATATATGTGTATATATGCATACATGTGTATGTGTATATATCTATGTATATGTGTGCATAAAGAAGTGTTATTTTATTTTGTTTTAGTGCTCAGTATGTTGATTTATGTGGGACAATTTTATTTTATTAATATTGAATGGACATTAATGCCAACCCAGCAGACGGTCGTATGACCATTGTTGTATGTGCATGTATAAATTATCGCACCCATTTCATGTAGCCTACTGTACATAGTATGTATTCAATAAAGCACTTTTCTATTCTATTCTATTCTATTCTAATGATTGCTAATACGTCCCTGGCAGCCCTACACACTCCGGCTCTTTTTACAAATGTTTTCATAAACATTCTTGTTTAATATTTGATGATTGTGCAATGTTGTATTTTGATGTAAAAAAGCAAATCATGGTATTAATTTGAATATTTCTCCTGGTCCCCCTACTAAACCATACAAAATCAATGCTAAATAATTGTCAAACCAGACAAGGAATTTCCGATAAACAACTTTGTATCATTGTTTTGCGATTGAAATCCCCTTCCCGAGCCCTTTAGGGAAGTGGTGCAAGTCTTAATATAGCTTCAAGGTTGCACCCACCCCTTACCCTCGGCCACTCGACTCACAGTGGCCCGCACTCATTTCAAGGTCATTGCCCAATCCCATAATATTACGAAATAAATACAGTAATTTGTAAACATATTTCATTTGTATTTTATTTAGCCTGAAATCAGCCATAAGGACATGCAATAATATAAAAAGTGATAATAGAAAGATAAAATATATATTTTACTACGGTTACGATTATTAGGAATTCGTAAATAAACAGATAACACATATTTTTTTATAATTTGTTATTGGAGGAAAAGAATAAATGCAAATAAATAATGAACTATTACAGCTGTGCGGTACGAGATCTCAGGGTCTCCTACAATGACGTCATATTAACTTCCTGGGCTGGCTGAAGACTGTCAACATTGTAATGGTTCACATAAACAAACACTCAGCGCTCTCTCTTTCCTTTCTTTGAGGTTATGATGTGCAAAAGATTACTGCGCAACGTAATCTCGGGGTCTTGTATCGCACCTGGGTAATGATAGCGAACGAGACCTATAGATCTCGTAACGCACCATTTGATTAATGCAGGGAAATAAACATCGCAACGAACGTATTAACTTGATTAGTTAGTATTTCATTTTCTATTTTTAAATCAAGGAGAAAAGCGTAAACTAACTAGTAACTTAACTTATACAAAATTGTAGTGTTTAAAAGTAGGATATATATCTGTCATGGATAATGCTTATAGTGCTTTTCATTGAACACTTTTAGTCAGATCCACTTACTTTTTTTAGGCTAACTTCGCTGCCTAGAGGTGGCAGATTGTTAAATACGTCCCTGGCAGCCTTACAGACTCCAGCTCTTATCACAAAAGTTTTCATAACATTCTTGTTCAATTTTTGCTGTTGCTTCAAGTGACTAAAGGAAATAATCCAGTGGTGTGGTGTGACATCACATGATCTTTGCTTGAAACAACGTTCGGATACGTTCGGATAAAACGTCCGGTAAACTTTAAGGGTTGCAACTGCACGGATTCTTGAGTTGTTTGTTGGATGTTAAGATGGACAAGTAGGCTGAATTCTTTAAGCTCTAACTTGTTAAAACCACCATGTCTAATTTTTAGGCACTGTTCAAAGGTTTATTGCGGACATTTTCCATCACGAAAGTAAAAAACAATACACAACGTTTCGGGATCTGGAATCTGATCCCGTCTTCACGTTGTGTATTGTTTTTTACTTTCGTGATGGAAAATGTCCGCAATAAACCTTTGAACAACATTAACTCACCATCACCAACAATGAACTTCAAACAAAGAATTTTAGGCACTCTCGACTAAATCCTTACAACCGCTACAAAAAATAATTGCTTATATATTCCCTGCTATCTTTCTCCATCAACTGTAACTCTATCACCAGCAGCCATTTAAAAAAAAAGTCAGTAACGACTAACCAAAGATCCACATCAAACCATTACTTTTTATGGATGTGTTTTCCATGTGATGAAAGTATCAATTTTAAAATGTGGTAGTGTTGCTAATATGCATGACCATTAAGAAACTCACGCTTCTGTAGACGATCTCAAAAGATTCAGTTCTTCAGTCAATTGGATTTTTCTAGACAATGCATGCATTGATTAATTGTAAAAAAATGTATTTTTATTCTTTTGGTTTTTGTGATATAATTCTCATGAAAGAGTTGAATGTGGAGGCAAACTACATGCAAATTTCATGAAATGATAAAATTTATTCAAATGGTACAAGCTATTTATATTCAATTATGGTAAAATTTTGATTATATATTAAATATCTTTGTTTTCAGGTATACAGTATCAGAGTGTTGAGGAAAGGCCCCACACCTGACAACCATTCATGTTTGTTAGAAAGGAGATACACAGAGTTTTTAGAGCTGTACACTAAACTGCGTCAAGAATTCCCTGACATATTTTCTTCTGTTGAATTTCCAAAGAAAGCTATGGTTGGAAATTTTTCTGCTGAAACAATAGCTTCCAGGAGTACTGCCTTTGAATATTTATTAACTTTGCTTGTCAGTCATGATAAGGTCAGAGAGTCGGCTACAGTTATGGACTTTTTCCTAATAAAAGAGTTGACAGATTCTCTGAAGATGATCAGTGACAAAAAATATAGTGAGGTAAGTGAACCAATACTGTTAATATAATGTTCAATTATTAGTTTATTGTTTAGATGTACGACTGGCCTTGTAGAACCCCGGTTAACCGAAATCCGGTTTAACCGAAATGGTTCCATAAAATAATACACGGTTCAAAAATAATTAATACGTAATGTAAAATGCTTTAGTAACTTCAGTTATTTAGTTTAAATTATTTACTAACCTAATGTAACATTTCTGTGGCTGAAATAAAATACTGTATTATATAGACATTGTTTTAAATTCATTTTTCCAACTCACCGATGCTATTTTTAGCTAATGACGGGTTAACTGAAAAGTTGGTTATCTGAAACGGCTCTTCCCCCTTTATTTTGGTTACTTGGGGTTCTACTATACTGTATTACCATTCAAATTATTCAGTACTTAACTCTAGTAGACTAGAAATGAACTATAAAAAATGTGTTATGTCACCATTAGTCAAGATTATTTAAAACCACAGGCAGCGGTGGTGCTGGAAAACAGTTTTTATCTGCTCAACAAGCTGCTGACACCTAGACATCCGCAGTTACTGCGGTTGTTGTGTCTGCTGGTCGGTTGCTGCGACGCTGCGATTTCACAACAGACAAGACACTTTGCCATGACTGCGGTGCAACGGTTTGAAGCTGTCAGTGACACTGACTTACTCAGGTGAGGAATCTCGACATATAGCTGGGAGCAGGTCTAGGCATGAGACATGCAAACCGCAGGCCCTGAGTTTTTTGTTAAGAATTTAACTATGTCTACTTTAATATAGTTTTACCTCACCTTATGAAAATACATATACCTAAAGAATAATTTTTCAGTGGGTCCACTAAGGAGTCGCAACTGTGTAGTGAGGAATAGTACAAGGTAGATAAAGTTCCTGATATTATGTGCAACTCAAGAGGAATCCACCATCTTCTCAAACTCCGCCCAAACATATGAAGTTAGAAGTCAAGTCAAGTCATCTTTATTCACAATATGCACACCTAGTACATGAGAATAGTGTCAAATCAAAAACCTAATACTATGACTATGACTAAGAGTTTAAAAAATCCTCAAGCTCAAACGAGTATAGTGGTTTGTAAAAAAGGTAATTTTTTAACATCTTAACTTTATTGATGTTATTTTCAGTTTTTAACAAAATAGGAAGTGTATGTAAGAAATTTGAAATTTGATCCAATATATGAAGGTTTCTTTTCATAAAATGCTAATCTATAGTGAGTAGGTATGACGGTATTTTATTCTTGTGTTATATTGGTGAGATTGCAGAATGTTCTGTTTTAAAGGATTATAATTGCTATTAAAACCGTGTCGTAAATATATTGTCCATATACAGCTAATATTTTTAAAGTTTTGAAATAATTTTTTGCTGATTCTTCAGGCTTCAAATTAGGAACTATTCTGAAAGCTTCAAAATTTCATTCAAGTTTTCTTTTTTTTACCCATATAAAGCCAAGCCAAATGAAATATGGGTATGAATATGCTCATGATTTATTATTTTTAACACACTTAGGCCTACATCAGTGCATAAATATGACATTCTGTGTAAGGCATTCCTGAGTTAATTTTAGAAAGGATTTTTTCCACATGACGATTCCAATTGAAATTCTCATATATTTCTAACCCCAAAAATCTAGTAGACTTTTGATGTTGATGTATTTGATGTTGAGTTGAATCACCCTGAGTCCAAGAAGACATCAAGCCAACTTCCATTTGGATTTGTAACTGGAGTTCCCTTAGTTCAAGTCACTATTACCGATTATGTGATTTCTCTTCTAAATTAACTCAGTAGAAATTTCTTATGTGGATATTACAGTTTATATTACCTCTTCTGTTTTTACGTTTCAGTAGTAGATCTTCCTTCAAAGTAATTCAGAAATCCTTAACCTCAATGTGAATACTTTTCCCCCTTTTAGTGAATTTCCCATATAGGGAATAAGCTATTACCATAGTACTCATGGTAAGACCTGGACCCGGGGCCAACTTACTTTTTTGTTTTGAGGTCCTTAGAGCCCAAAAAACCATCCGTTTGAATTCATCTATAAGTATAAAAGAGGATGTTTGTATATATATATATATATATATATTTGGTAGTGATAAACTCAGACACCGCTGAACCGATTGCCACGAAACTTGGTACATACGTGTAGAATTTCATGGAATAGGTTTATACACCATAGTAGTTATGTATTTGTCGATACTAGGCCAGGGTGAGGGTGAGAGCCCTAGAATAGGGTACAGCCCTAGAATAGGGTACAGCCCTAGAATAGGGTACAGCCCTAGAATAGGGTACAGCCCTAGAATAGGGTACAGCCCTAGAATAGGGTACAGCCCTAGAACGGGGTACAGTCCTAGAACGGGGTACAGTCCTAGAATGGGGTACAGTCCTAGAATGGGGTACAGCCCTAGAATAGGGTACAGCCCTAGAATAGGGTACAGCCCTAGAACGGGGTACAGTCCTAGAATGGGGTACGGCCCTCAAAGTCCGGACACTCAGAGAGCAGTCTTCTGCAGTTCCTTTTCATAGAATCCTTCTATAATTTCTTCGCCATTTTGATCGGCGATCCTATAAGTAACCGGTCTAGTGTTTAGAATTCGTGCTATTGTAAATATCTCCGAAGTCCAGTTTTGTTTATATTTATTCGCAAACACGTCTTTTTTCGTCGTGATACGTTCTCTATCGCCGAGGTCGAACTTGTTGTTTTTACGAACTTTGTGTTCGCGCTCAATGTAGATTTGTAATAAATCAGCCTCGTTATCTTTGTTGACCTCTACTGGTCTCATTTTAATAGTGTGGTGATAATCGTGTTGTTGGTTATACTCATCTGTGACTTCTTGTAGTATATCGTACCACTTGTGGGATTGTCGGACTTGGAATTTAACTTTAAGTTTCTCATTCAATGTCCTATGATATCTTTCAATTATTGCGGACTTCTCTTCACTCTCTGTATGGTATAGTTTGATATTATGCCTCCTCAACATGTTGTTGAACGGTTTATTTTTAAACTCTGTACCTTTGTCGGTATGTAAAAGCTTTGGTGCTTTATGACCATCACTGTTTGCTCTTTTTATAATCTTCTCGAAAGCTGTTGTCAACTCTGCCCCGTCTTTTCTCTTTAAAGGTTCGGACCAAACGAATTTGTTAAATGTATCTATGACATTTAAAATGTACTTGTACCACTTGTTTTCCCTAGTGTACTGCTTCATTATTAATAAATCTGCAGCCCACAAATCGTCGATACCCTTGGTGACTACTCGGCGTTTAATGAACTTTTTAATAACCGGCCTATGCAACTCCTTGGCTTCTAAAACATCATATGGCTCCTTTATAAACGAGTGTTTCACACTGCCGCAAACTGCACATTTTGATGTAGACAACCATCTTTTATTTCTAGTTTTTGTGGTCTTTATGTTTTCAGACGCTGTGTTTATTTTACACACGCGGCAGTACAACTCCATTGCTATATATTGAAATATAGATGTGCTTGTAATATAGACTTTAAATGCGCAAACGAGTCTTAATTAAGTAAACGATTGAGAATTGGTAAAGTGTGTATATAGCACAATTACAATGGGGTATAAACGTAAGATAAACCTGACGAAGAATCAACTAAACAAATTGCGAATTGCTTACAAAAAGCTCAAACGTGCTTTACTATATCTCCCAAAGGAACAGCTGAAAAACGGTAATGTTGAAGTATCGCTTGATAGTGACCAACATAAGCAGGTGGAAAGAGCCATAAAAAACAACACTGGGGTGAGGTTGATTTTTGATTATGCCCAACTGAAGGAGATGATTGATGGCGGTTTACTGCGGGAAGTATTGGAGCTGGCTGAAAACAATATTCCATATTTTAAGAAAGTTGCATCACCACTGATAAAAGGCAAAGTCGCGCCCCTATTGAAAGATCAGTTTGTGCCATGGCTTAAGAAATTAATTGATAGTGAGTTGGATACTCTGATAGATCAAGATGCAAGTGGTGCCGGATTGACTAGACGTATAAACAGAGAACTGAACAAGGTCTTGAGTGGTGCAAAACAAAAATAAGCCCATCAACAATATCTGACTTGGAGCATTGGGCTAATGTTTTACGAATAAGAAACTTTCGTGGTGTTTTTATGAGGGAAGCCTTACCAAACAAACCGCGTGAAAACGAATGTGGAATTATAAATCTAGGCAATTTAGAATCGGGTGGTACACACTGGACTTGTTATATGAAAACAGGCAACCGAGTTACATATTTCGACTCATTTGGAGACGCACCACCGTTGTTGGAATTGAACAAATATGTGAACATGGACGACGGTATATTATACAATATGAATAGATACCAGGAATATGACGATCCGCCAATATGTGGTCATTTGTGTTTAGAGGTTTTAAGGAGATTTTCAAATGGTGTGAGTTGGAATGAAATCGAACATATTTTGAATAATAACAAATATGTATGGTTATGTTGGTTTCTAAAATTTTATAATAAAGTATTTTTATTTTTTTTATTTTAGTAAAACAAACCTTTTAATGTATATATTTAGACATGGATTATCTTTCGATAAACAGATTTAACGAACTACAAGAACCCCAGAGTATTTCAGATGGTGTTAGTGAATCTCTAGTTGATGAAAAGATACGGAACTTACAGAATGGATTCAACAGCGGAGCTAAAACAATGTTCAAACAAATAGAGGATAAGCTAATGGGGCATCTAAAAACAACCGATTCTTTGGTGAATAGCATTAGTATATCGGGCAACTATTTGAGTGTTAAGGGGAGGCGCATCGTCAATGTCGCTAAATCCATAGACAAAAACGATGTCGCAATTAAGGAAAACCTTTTAGAGTTGGAAAAACTCATTAAAAATGTGATCAAAACAACAAAAAACATTGTGCCGAAAAAGTCTACCACAACTAATACTGTGGATGTGCTCGAGATCCAAAACCATAAGAGAATAAGCGGCGTTGGTAAGGCCATTGAAGCAAATGATGTTGTGGTAAAACTACAATTGGACGAACTTGTTAATAAAATCCTAGAATTGGAAACCCGTTATAAAACACTAAAAGAAAACGCAAGAGAAAGCATTGATGATTTATATGACAGTTTACCCAAAAGCAATTAAGAATATATTTTTTCTTTGCACCATATATTTATTAGATATGACTATTTTAAAACTGACGGGAAATACATCATTGTTAAATATCCATTTGGAGCACCCGATCTATTTGGGTGAAAATTCAAAGTACCAGATAGCGTTGATTGGTTTTTATTCTGAAAACAACATTTATAATTTAGTGCAAACTGCTAGTATGACTTTTGAAAACATATTTACACCTGTGGTGATTAACAGTGGACATTGGACAATGGAATCGCTACAGAAGCACATACGAGGGTTTTTAGAAAAAGCTAGTTTTACTGTGGATATAAATCAGTTTAAAATACTTAAAGAAGGTAATCGTGTTGTTATAAAATCACCACTAAAGTTTCAAATGTATAACACAATGCGCTTCTTGTTGGGATTTAATGAGGACAAAGATTCAGAGTTATCTAATCACTATAAAGCTGATACTGCGCCAAATTTGCGGCCTGTGGATGTTATCAAAATCCATTGTAATATTGTAAACAGCAGTTATACAAGCCATTCTACACATTATCACAGACATGACGAATC